AGAGAGAGAGAGAAAGAGAGAGAGAGAGAGAGAGAGAGAGAGAGTATGTGTGTTCATTCTGTCTCTGCTAAAGGGCGGAACCGGGTTTGCATTTGCCTGGATGATAACACTCTATACAAAAACCAGAATGTTATACCTTCCCACCCCCCACCAGACTCTTTAAGGGTCCTGTTGCATACAGGGCAAAGTTCATGCTCAGAGGTGAGGATTCTGAATTTAGTGCCTGTACCGGCTCCGCTGCAGTCTCTTTCCTCTGTCTCTTGCCATTCAGTCCTTTGGGGCCCTTAAAACCCCCTGTCCTCTTTCACACCACCGCGCCTCTCTCCGTTCTTAGAGTTCCCTCTGCTTGGAAGATCTCACCTTCCCTCCTACCAGCTGGTCCCACTTAACTTTTTATTTTTTTGCAGTGCTGGTCCTGGAACCCAGGTCTCTGTCAAGGACCAGCCTTGACAAAAATACCTCTTGCCAGGGTAGGGGTGTGGGAACTTAGAAATATAAAAAAAGAATGGAGATACATAAAAAATAATAAGACTGAAACCACAGAAGGGAGGGCATTCCAGTGATAACTGAAAATTGCCCTTGTTTATTTTTCCATGGCTTTTATACCCAATGTAAATGGGGGCGGAGAAGGTAACAAAAAATTTTATTAACATGATACAACTCAAACAGTCAATCGCTCTAACGCTGAGACATCACATCATTAGCGATTTGTTGTCTAGGTAGCGAAGCTGCTCTAGATCACATATCCTGAAGACTGCACATCCCCAGGTGACCTCATAGTTACAAAAGGAGAAGCAGCGGTACATTTGTATCTTCTGATGGTACATTTGTATCTTCTGACGGGAGCCAGGGGAAGGTGAGATAATCCTGATGTGGTGCTCTGGGCTGCATCTCCAGGTCAGTGACCCCAATGCAGCAGACCAGACACCTCATTGAGTGCCTGGCACTTGGCAGGAGCTCCGGGTCCTCTGTTGGTGCTGGTGGGAGGTGGGCACTGGAAGACTGAAATATCAATTTGACAAAAAAAACTTTAAAAAATTAATTTATTTTATGTGTATGGGTGCTTGGTCTGCATGTAAGGTACCATATGCATGCCTGGTACTCTAAGGAGGCCAGACGAGGACATCAGATCCCCTGGGACAGGAGATACAGATGGTTGTGAGTCACCATGTCGGTGCTGGCAGTCAAAGAGCAGCCAGAGTTCTTAACTGCTGAGCCATCTCTGACCCGTCAACAATTTTGATTCCAACTATAGAAGGTTTTTGGGCTGATTATGGGATGCTAAAAGTGCCTTCTTCTGCATCTGTCACCTGATTCTCGGGGACCCTGCTATGTGGAAGTCCCAGGCAGGCCAGTCCTCACCATTGACTTTGCTGAAGGCATAGTCATTGCTACTGGGGTGGCTGTTCCTCCAGCTGCAGCTGAAGAAAAACACCTGCAAGAAAAAAAGTGAGCTGAGTGCTGAACCAGGACCAGGAGAGCAGGAGTGTGCTGAGGGCATGGGCCATTTGCCTCAGGTTGCCCATCGCCTGAAAGTGTCCTGTGGTGCAGGTCGTATAAACCTCACTTAGGAAAACAATTCCATTTTGTTCTCTTTCTCTTCATCCATGTCTCTAGCAGGTATCCAGTCCCACTCCTCACAGGGCTAGACCCCAGCTTGGGACTCGATCATTGGCTCTCCTCTTCCCTCCCCTTCCCCGCCTGAGGACGAGGATGTCTTTACCAGAGGACTTGGCATAGACTGTCTGCTTGTCTCTGCTCTGGGCGATGCAGGACATGTACAGCTTCTGGTCTTCAATCTTTTCTACTTGAATGTCCAGGACAGCCAGAGAGCCCACGGGGATCAAGCTGGAAGAGGGGGCAACTGAGTTCATTTCCCTACCTGCTCCCCACTTTGACCCCCCTCCCTTACCCTGCTACCAGGACTCATAAGCAGTCCTAGGTTCAGGGGATGTTTGTTGTTTCCTGGTGTTGAATGGCAGAGGTTGATTTCTGGCCCAGGACTAGAGAAAAGCTTGGCTGGCAAATGAGACCTGCAGAGCTTACACATCCCCACCATAAAACAGAGCCCTGACCTCGGCCATGGCCCGAGGAGTCACACTTACTTTTTAAACCTGATGTTGAGACTTAGTGTGAATAGTCCTTCTCCAGCCAGATAGGCAGTTTTAGAAAATGTCTCATCCATCATGGCTGCCAGTGACCCTCCATGGGCAAACCTGGAGATCAGATCAGGGGAGTAAGACTAGGGTTAGGGCTACTTGATAGATCCCCTCTTTGGGATGCTTCTCCCAAAAACCTCCCAAGCTTTTCTCTTTCCCCCAGTCCCCCAAACGTGATTCTTTAATCTCAGGCAGCTAAACAAGAAAGGCACACAGAGATCATCCCAGGGGCTTCGGTAGGTCAAAAGTAACTAAGCTTCCTTCCTCTTTGCTTCTGATACAGCCACTGATACAGTTATTTTATCGCACCGAGAGAATTTCTTTCCTCACAAGATTAATAGAGACGATTTTTTCTGATTCATCACCTAATTGCTAACTGCAGCTGCCACATTTTAGAAGGCTGTGTACACTCAAAGGAATGGAAAAAACCCTGAACCTTTGGATTAGTCTTTTATTGTTTTGTTTTTTGAGACATGATCTCACTCGAAATCCTAGTCTAGACTTGAACTCATGACAATCCTGCCTCAGTCTCCTGAGCTCTGGGATCAGAGGTCTGAACTACCATGTTTAGCTTGATTTAGTGTTTGACTCATGAGCTTGGGCCATCTCTCGTCCTACCAATCCCTCAGCCAATGCTGGACCTACAGTTTCAAGGCAGGTTAATTGGCTTATGTCTTATTAAAGAGCCAGCAAGGTAGGCTTCTGAGCAACCCTGCCTGGAAAACACCAGAGCCCACTTTGGTGTGATAGCGCAGACATTTGTTCTACTTCAACTTTGTAAAACCTTCATTGCCATTTATGCAAATTGTACTTCATGACAAGGCTTTGCCACTGCCGGTTAAGCGAGGGGAGAATACCAAGGCACCCTAAGATAATATGAGAATGCCATAAAACAGATCTGGGCTTTGGAAGAAAGTGCGGCTCATCATGGACTCAGGCTGCTCTTGCTGTTCAGCCAAGGCTGCAGGGGGATCCTCAAGCTCCCCCTTGAGGGGCATCATACCACCTGGCTGGACTCCTGGTTCTGCCACTCACCGTCCACGTGTGCTAGGACAGCTTGCAAAACCACTCTCAGCCTTCATTCAGTACCCACCAGGTACTGTGAATAAGAACTACTATCTCATCGATGAAGTTCCCCACATCTCATGCCGTGAAGAGAAAATCAGTTGGTGCCAAGGCCTGCCCTTGCCTCTGTGCTCCCTCGCCAGACAAAGGATTCACTGGCAAAATGCTGGTTCTGCAGAGTGGTTCTTAGCCAGTGGGCAATTCATTCCCACTTGCATTGCCTGGGACCCAGTGGGTATTAATCTCCTCTCTGTACTCTCAGCCCACTCAGTGTTGGATCATCTACTCTGGCTTTTGTTATAGCTCAGCACCCCTGAAAGGAACACATCCACATTCCCTCCACCCCATCTCCTTGGGGATTTCGCTTTCAGAAGGGAAGAGGTCCTTGGCCTCTTAGGACTTTTATTTCTGGAACATTCTGAAGCTTCAATAAGGGCATTTTTTATACATGCATAGTAGAGCCTGGGGAAGCTAACTCAGATTGTCCTCACAGGCCTAGCATTGAGAAGAAGTTCCTTGCACCCCATTTTAGGTCTTTAGAGACTCCAGGGCCAGGTGGGTGCTGGACCCACCCTGCTGAGTCAAACCTGTGAGGAATCTGTCCTGGCCTGTCTGAGGCCTTACCCTGGTGGCCCCTCCAGGTAAGGGCCTGGCTGGAAAAGACAGACTGACTTCTTCTCAGATGGGTGGAAAAAGATGACATATTCATAGCCTTGTCCTTCCAGCAGGATGCACCTGGTAAAGATGCGCCAGTCCTGTTTGTCTGGGGAGAGATGAGAGCTTTGAAACAGAGACACCTCAGAGTGTGGGGACCTGTCAGGGCACAGCATTGTGAATTCAACAGGAGCAAGGGGAGTGGGCCAGACACCCCAACCCTGTTGCTAGGGAGCCTTTCTACAGGGGAGGAGGGGACAGAGAGCCTGGGTCCTGCGGGGATAGACACTCATAAAGTGCAGGTCTAGGCAAGCATTCTGCCAACTGAGCCACTTCCTCAGCCTGGACAAAAAATTTTTCCCCTTCAAGACAGGTTTCCTGTTCAGTGTAGCCCTGAACGTCTTGAAACTAACCCTGTAGACCAGACTGGCCTCAAACTTACAAGATCTACCTGCCTCTGCTGGGACTAAGGGTAGACACCATGCCTGGCTTGGTGCCTCTGCTTGGCTGGTACCATGGGTCCAAAGGTCACCTACTAGTTATGTCATTCATTCATTACTGAGAAGCACCCACATGCATGAATGAAAAGGAAAGAAAACACAGAAAGACAAAATGACAGACAGACAGACAGACAGACACACAAACCTACACAGAAAGAGACAGAGAGCAGGGCTGGGTAAAGGTGGCAGCTCTGTCAATCGAATTCATTGTATGTCTCTGGGTACCATTCTGCCTAGCTGAGCAGAGGTGGCGAGCTGAGGCCTGCAGTAGGTAAGAGAAGCCCAAGGGCTTTTACAAGGATGGGAGGGAGGGGCTGGGACAAAGCTAGCTGAAGGAAGAGCCATTGGTGAGATGCCAGAAAGAGCAGAGCCCTGCACTGGCAATGCTCCAGCTGGACTTCAGCTGGAAGCAAAGATGCCACTCGGGTGTGCTCCCTTTACAGAGGAGTGAAGGAGCCAGGCAGAGAGACCAGTGTGGGTAGGCTTCCCATCCACAGCCAGTCTGCAGGGGAAGGAGGAGGAGACCAGGAAGAGCAGCTCCCAGTCTGCAGGCTCATGAATTTCCTTCCTGAAAGTCTCAACATTTTCTATTGTACTGATTCTTGGGGAATGCCATACAATTTATTTTGATAATATTTTTCCTCTTCCCTTTGGAGAAAAATTCCTGTGTAGTCCTGGGTGGCTTTGTAGCCCAGGCTGACCTCGAACTCTCATATTCACTGGCCACCATGACTAGCCTTCCTGAATGTTTTCAAACCAGAGAAAGGCGGCAAGTTGAACTCACTGAGGGTTTCAGGCAGGGTCCCCCACTGTGGGTAGAGAAGTGTGTGTGTGTGTGTGTGTGTGTGTGTGTGTGTGTTTGTGTAGGTAGGTATGTTATGTGTATGAGGGCAGAGGTGTATGTGTATGAGGGGTGTTTGTGTATGTGGAGGTGTGTATGTGTGGGATGGGCAGAGGTGTATGGGGGATGATTGGAGGTGTGAATGGGTGGGTGAAGGGGTGTGTGTGTGTGTGTGTGTGTGTGTGTATGTATGTGTATGTGTGTGTGCTTCTGAACCCATTCAGAACTGGTCTTACCTGAGGCAGTTTCTAGCCCTAATGGGAGCTTAAGCCCTTGGATATGTTCTCTGTTGGACTTGAAGGAGGGTATTTTAATCCACCCGCCTGACTTGGTTTTCTCCAGAAATTCTTGGTACAGGCTCAGCATATCTGGACACCAGCTGGAGTTGGGAAGGGCATAATCCTTTAAATCTGTTTTCTCTGGACAGAATCTTGCAACCTGGACAAGAAAAATCAGAGTGGTATGATGACATCTTGGAAGATGGGGGATTGTTCTTGGGCTATGGGACCATCATTTAGTCTGTTTCTGGGTTTGGGGCATTTGAGTCCTGTCTGCTGGAGTACTACCTGAAGGAAGAGTCCATCTTCCTTGTAGGTGTTTGGAGACACCTGTGGATGAGTGGGGATGCTGGGATGGGGGTGAGAGCTGGCCATTCCAGTCACACTGTGCAGAGCAGCAGCTAGGTGCTTATGGGCCTGTTTGGCAGCTTCTTTGAAAACCTTTCAGGCCCCAAGGAAGTGTACTATCATGGCCAGAGACAGGGGCAATGTGGCCATCTGCCATATGTCTCTCATTAGTCTCTTCTGTGGGTAATAAGCAAGCTGACAGGTCTCTGTCTGGGGATACCCTACTTAGCTGTGGCAGTGTGAACCCTATAAGAGATTTGCTGGTGGGTACACAGGATTTGGGCCAGGGTTTGTCCTACTAGATTTATTCTGGGATATGGCTTATTAAGTACTCCAAAGCATTTTCCCTTTGCTAAACCAAACAGCTCTGTATCAGCCCAGAAATAAGGCAGAGAAAGAGAATTGGGGGTGTTTGAGCTCTACGCCCTTAGAGAGGAAGGGCGCTCGTCTGACTCCTTGGGAACTTACCAGGGAGTCTGTGGATGATCCGAACGCTGAGGCCTGGTGGAGTCTGGTCAGGAGATGGGTTCTCAGGAGAGCTTTGTGGCGGGCAAGTCTTGCCACCCTCTGGAAGCCTGTCCTCATCATGGCTGAGTGTCAGGATCCCGGTTTTGCTTCGATAGATATAGAGGCTGACTCCCGAAGACAAGTGAGCACCAGGCAGCCGTGCTTGGGTGATGGTGAAATCACCTCTCACCAGGTGCTTCTGACGCAAGCAGGCTTTCTTCTAGCACGGAGAGCCCACTGGAGAGAGGATGATTGCACAAGAAAGGCTGGACTGGTCCAACACCCTCAAGCTTGGGGCCTTTAGCTGGTCCCGGAGCCCAGCCCAGAGCTGGGGAAGGGAAGATGCTGCTGGAGCATGAACGGGCAGGAGGACTGGGTGTGCTCAAACAAGTAGTGCGGGGAACTCAGGGCCTCAGAGAGCTGCCCTACCTTGTTGGGAGCAGAAGTCAAGAAAATTTCCAGAAAGATCACAGTTCATCATGTTAGAATCCAGACTGGACGACAGCACAAGCTACCATCCCTGTAGCAGCCTCTCCCCACCTACGTGTACTGATGGGTACCCTATTGAGAGCACCGTGACTCGCTAGCACTGGCGGAAATCTGCAGGCCCCAGCACATCCAAAGGTTACTGATGGCTACAGACCCTGCTCCCCATTCTCCTTCCCTGATGCCCGTAGGGAAATCGGAGAATCTGGCTACTGCCTCATGCTGGGAATGCTTCTTCTTCCAAAGAGCCCTGAGAAAGAGACCCCACTTCTGTCTCCTGGACCCGATTCTACTTCTGAGAAGAACCTGCCACACTGTCCCTGAACTCTCCTCAGAGATCCCACCTACTGTTACTGTCAGTTTGTCCATGGCAAATAATGCTTCTAATAGGCTCCCAACAACCCGTCTCATTGTTCCTCTTGGATCCCACTTCTGATACCTTTCACGTCTGTCCCTCAGTGGGAGAGTGTTGATGGAGCGTTTGTAGAATGTGCTCTGTGGCATGCTTTGGAAAGCTCTGGTGTGATCTGGGGACTCAAAAAATAAAGAAACAAAACCAAACAACAACCAACAAACTTAGTTTACAGCCTTAGACACGTGCTTCTTGTGTCCCAGGCAAGAATTAGCACAGGGGGACCTCTACTTGCTGGCTCTTGGCTAGTGATAGAAGTCATGGAGGGGTTAAGAGCGTACAGGAGATCACCAAGAGGACCTTGTGGGCACTGAAACTCCAGGGAAGGGGTGAAGACAGCAGACAGCGCTTGGAATGAGGTGAGACCGGCAATGGAGGCCTTGCCAGGTACAAGCACTACAGGAGCCGCCAGAGATGACCACTCAGACTCTATTCCAGCTGGCTGGGACTACACAGGTATTTAGGGACCCAAGCGCGGCCTCAGACAATTATACCAAGTGGCTATTTGAGGTCAAAACCACATCCTGATATCTTGCTCAGCAGTTGCAGGGGGAGATTTGCACAAGCAAGTGATTTAACAGAAGCTAAGATAAGTAAGTTATTGGAGACATCTTGGCCTTGGTTCCTAGAATGGAGCTGAGCAATCTTCTGTGGGGGATTCTTGATCAAGGAGCTCAAATTCTTGGTAAACCTGAAATGACCGCAACAAAAATGCAAGATGGTGGATCCTCTGCTTTGTCTTGCCTTGTCTCACAAGCAGGGCTAGAAACTCTGGCACTGTATTTTGAGTTTGAGAGACTAGGGGTTAGACTCCCTGGTAGACAGACAGATAAGGAGCCTGGATTTTGAAATTTACAGGGGCTCGCAGTCTTGATCTACTTTGCAGAGGGTCTTTTCCTCTGTATGTCTGCTGTGTGTTTATTCAGCCCCCCCCCCAAACACTTTTTCTACTGCCGATTTTGTTCACTACTTAAACACCTGCTTTTGTCTGAGGTTTGTATGCCTGCAGGCCAGAAGAGGGCACCAGACCTCATTACAGATGGTTGTGAGCCACCATGTGGTTGCTGGGAATTGAACTCAGGACCTTTGGAAGAGCAGGCAATGCTCTTAACCTCTGAGCCATCTCTCCAGCCCTTGTCCTAGGTTTTTAAGATTTATCTGTTGCTACATGTTGTGCCCCATCCAGATTTTTCCTGATTTTTAATTCTTTAGCTGGCAGAGAAAATGAACCCTAGCAAGACCCCTGGACTATATCAAGTGTTCAAACAATACCTGCAAGGTTGTGATTTTTTTTTTCGGTGCTGTGTTTTCTATTGAATTAAAACCCCTTTCTTCTCTTCTCCTTCCCTTCCTCTCTTCCTTCCTTCCTCCCCTCTTTCTTTCATTCTTGAGACAGAATATTGCTATATATCCCAGGTTGGCTTTGAAATCACGATCCCCCTGCTATAGTTTCCAGAGAGTTAGGATTATGGGTCTGCATTAACAAACCCAACAAAGCTTCCAGCTTTCAACAAAAAGCTCTGGTTTTGAACTTCTTAAAACAAAGCATGTTCTAAAAACCAGAACTGTTCAAAGATAGGGTAATGGTGATGATGTTTTGCCAGCTCCTGAAAGATCAAAGTGATTTAATATGGATGGTAAGGTTTGTCTCACTACCAAACAGTGTTATTTTGTCAGCCACACAAAACACCAACCATGGAGAACATGGGTTCAAGAAAGAGTTTACTTGGATGTATCCAACAGGGTCTAATGTTTGCCCTGCTGGATTTGGTCTTGCTTTAGTGCCATCCCTCTTGCTACTCCTATTTTTCCTGTGGAGTGGGAATGTTCGCTATGTGCCTATCGCACCAGTGTATGTTCAAAGTACAGAGGTTTGTGTTTTAATTTTACATGGGCTTGCAGCTCAGAGTCTGTCTTGAGTCTTAGAAAAAATGTTGGACTTGAATGTTGAGCAATGTTGGGACTACTAAGGCTTTGGGGACTCTTATAAAGCCTTTGAGCAAATTTTGCATTGTCAAATGATCTTGAGCCTTTGGGAGCCAGGCACGAAATGTCATAGTTTGAGTCTGAAATGCTCACACATTGAAGGTTGGTCCCATTGCAGCAACATTTAATGGTGGTGCTTTTTGGAAAGGGATTGGATCTGTGCATTGATTGACAAGTGGATTCATAATTTGAGAAGAATTGGAAGGAAATGACACTTAGGAGGTGGAACCTAGCTATAGGAAGTCCTTGCTGCACATCCTGAGGACCATGTCTTGTTCCTGACCTCTTAAGTTCTCTTTTTCTGTTCCAAGGTGCATGAGGAGGGTGGGCTGGCTCCATCACACCTTTGCCTTTCCACAGATCTATAAACAATGGAACTAGATGACCATGGTGTAAAATTTATGAACCAGAATAAATCTTCACTCCTGTAAGTTGATTTTCTGTGGTGGTTTGTCAGCGATAAAAGTCTAGTTAAATAAATTTCAGATATTTGCATAATTATGCTTATGTAACTTTGTTCTTTGCCTTGCCACTTACCTAATGCCATTCCCTTTCTTGTGTAACTCTTGTTTTCCTTGAGTTTATAATTACTAAGGTTTGGCAGGCCATGCGCTGCAGGGAGCCAAGGAGTTGAGGTGACCAACCTCGATTTCCTAGCTGGGAAGGAAGACTATTCAGGATGGAGAAAATAAATCCTCTGATGACACCTGAGACATCTGAAGAGCAGATGTAGTGGACTCGAGGACATGCACAATGGAGACGACCAGGGCGGTATCTGGAGAGGAGAGACTCTGAATCAGAAGCTGGAGAGGAGAGAGAATGGGGCCACAGGAAGCTACCTTTGCACTTTCCACCTTCGTTTCTTGTGGTGCGCCCCCTCGACCAGCAAGGAAGAACGACCACGGGCTAAGGATTCTTCTCAAATCACACTTTATTGGAGCCTCTTGGTTGAAGGGAGAGCGGGAAGCAAGAGAGGGGGAAACCCAGGCGGCACCTGCTCATATAGTTGGAAGGAGGTGGAAGGACTCGGGTACTGCCCTGATTGGCGATTACCAGTCTGCTGATGCCCAGAGCCTCGGGATTGGCCAGGGAACAAGGCTCAATTGCGCATGTACAAGCAAAGGGCACTCAGCCCCACACGGCAAAACAAGATAAGGATTTGTTTACCTCCAAACTGCAGGACCACCAGCGCCATCTTGTAATGGCGATCTCCGGATGGCTCCCTACAGTTTCTGTCTACAGTTACGCACATCTGAGTGTGTTCTGTAAAATGGGGGCCCTTCTTAGGGCTTTGTGGTCGGCCGCCCAGGGAGGTACAGTGGTGCTTGGCTAATGAGTACCTCACATGGTTCAGACCCTTCTCCTACACACACACACTCACACACGCACACACCCCAAAACCTCAGGTCAGAGTAAAGAAAGCCTGCACCTTGGCCTCTTTGGAAAAGCAAGTAGATAAAGTGAAATCAGTGAGGGGTTGACTCAACTGAAAACTTTCAAAAAAATCAGATTTAGTTTGTTATCCTGCCTAGTTTGGGGAAAAAAAGTTTTGTAACTTTTTTCACAAGTACATCCTGGGCCTGGTACTTTTAAGATAGCCTAGCAGCAGCAGGCTGTTTAATGATCTGCTTTAGAATTAGGGATAAGGTGGTAGTGATGACGAAGTCAGATTTGTAGAATCTGCCAATTTCTGTGGTGCAAAAATTCCTTCATGGCTTATTTGAAGTCACTGTCCTGACTGTGCTTCTGGACAACTGTGTGAACAGTCGGTTCTGAGGAGTGGTAGGAGCTTGCTGTTGCCGGTCACAGTGTGAGTGATGGGCAGACAGCACAGACAACTTTAGGGAGTGGTAGGAGCTTGCTGTTGCCGGTCATGGTGGAAATGAAGCAACTGCATTGATCAAGGTCTCATCAGGTTCAGATTAATCTTTGCCCTAGATCTGAATTCACTTCCACTTTAGTATGTTTTGGATTCTTGTCTCTCCAGGGATGACTAGAGGTTAGGTCTATCCGTTTTGTTGCTCCTCAAACAAATGTCTATTCACTAAGAATAAATAAAAAAATTATCAATATTTCTGAAAATCTTACCGAGTATACTTCATCTTGGGTGTCTGGGGAAGCCCGTCTCAGATAAATCCAAACACAGGACAATGTTCCCAATATGTGAGCTGACTCTATGCTGTGATGTGGAATTCCCAGCACTTTGGAGAGATTTGTCTGCGATGACTACCACCTTGCCTTTCTGGATGAGGAATGAGCTTTCCAGACACCATTCCTAAGCAAACACTATCCACTGAGCTACACTCCCAGCCTGGACTCCAGTGCTGAGATCACAATCCCACTGAATGTGTATTCCTGAAGTCTTATCATGAGGCATCTTGTAAGGGTCTGGGATGGCTCGCTCTCCTCTCAGTTTACAGCTGGTTCCTACGCACGTGCTAAGTCTGGTCCACTCCTACCGGATCTTATAGTTTCTTCTGAGCTGTGGATCTGAGGCCAGCTGGGCTGGAGACATTGTGTGCTATAAAATTGGGGGCTCCCACAGGCACTGAAAAGGGACCACAGTGGCCCAGTTCCCTTCAGGAGGTCTAATGACAGATTGTCGACCCGGATATCAGTTCTGTGAGTTTTAAAAGAACACTTGACCAGAGCTTTTTAGCTCTGGCTCAGGGTCTGGCTGCTTGCTCACGTCAAGGTAAAATGTGAAAAGAAAACTCATTTATGGTTTTGGCCCAAACTGAAGAGAGAACCATTTTCAGTCTTCTATCTTCTCCACGGTACTCTCAGAATTTATTGAAGGGATAGAACAGAGTTTAGGAAACACTTTCTGTAGACCGAGCTGTGTCTCAGGGAAATTAGCTGGGAGGTAAGCTACAATTAAACTTTTTGTTTGTTTTTCTAGTGGCATCCTTCTGGTACCAGGGGTTCAGTGGTATCTTTCTAAATACGTGAAATGCTCAGAGGTTGGCACGATGCCATCCATGTCACAGAATGTTTTGATGTTGGGTAAGATCGCTGAGGACCCACCACTGACCAAGAACATGTCAATGGGAATTCGGCAACTACGAAATACAAAAACAAAACAAAACCAACATTGACACAGGCAAATATGGCAGGAAAAGATCCCTTGTTTGAATGGATCGTTTCTGCTCACGAGCAATGTTGAAATTGACAGCGTGAGTACGAGGCACAGCCTAGCTCTGTATAGTCAACAATAGTCTACATTCATGATGTATGAGACACCACCTTCCTCATCCTGGGGCAGTCCTGTGGGTCTGCTCTGCATCTTTCTGACTCAAGATCTTGAAGATCTTGGCAGCTTGCACTGCTTACCAAGCCTGAGGCTGAGAAGGAGGGGCTGAGGAAGAGGGCAGACTGCTCCTACCTGCCACACCTGTGCCAGCTCTTATTCCCTCATAAAACCACCAGGCATTTTAACTGCAGAAGGAGATTCTTTCTTTATGTTTCAAGACAGAGTATCTCTGTGTATCCCTGGCTGTTCTGGAACTGACTCTGTAGGCCAGGTTGGCCTAGCTCTGATTGCCTCTGCCTCCTGAGTGCTAGCATTAAAGGAATGAGCCACCATGACCCAGTGGAGATTCTTATAATAGAAATAAGTAAATCCATTTTTAAACTTAATTTTAAAACCTACTTAATTGTTAAGCCTTATAAATTACATCTTTTGAGCAACGAGGAACATGTAAATAGCCATTGTGAAGAAACCCAAGAGTGTCTCTCTTTCTAGTGGTGCAGTGGTCTGAATGAGAATGGCCCCATAGGCTCATATGTTCGCATGCTTGGTCCGCAGTTAGTGGAACTGTTTGGGAAGTACTAGGAGGTGTGGCCTTGTTGGAGGGGGCATATCACTGGGGATGGACTTTGAGATTTTAAAAGCCAGGTCCAGTGTCTCTTTCACCGTCTTGCTTGATACTTGCAGATCAGAATGTAGTTCTCAATTACTGCTCTAGTAAGCCTGTCTGCTTCCTACCATGATGATCATGGACTAACTCTCAAAACTGTAAGCCAGTCTCGAATTAAATGCTTTCTTTTATGGGAGTTTCCTTGGTCA